TTTTATTCTCCTGAGACAACCTTAACCTCCTTATGTATGTCTAGAACGAATCACTTAAATCTTCTCCATACAGCTGCTTCCTCAAAGTCAGGCTGGGGCATTAATGTCGTGTGTGTGTGTGTGTGTGTGTGTGTGTGTGTGTGTGTGTGTGTGTGTGTGTGTGTGTGTACACACCTTATCTTGAAGTCATAAAATCTTACATTAAAAGGTATCTTGAATGAATGAAGCTTTGAACTAACAGAACTTCTTTTTTCTTTTTTTTCATGTAATAAGCCATAGCTTCTAACCGTTTCTAGAAATTCTTTAAATGCTTATTTTTGAGACAGGGTCTCTAGATGTAGCGCAGGCTGGCTTAAACTTTTAACCCACCTGCCTCAATCTCCCAAGTGTTGTGATGACAGGCATGGACCAACCATCATGCTTGGCTAAAGTATTATAGTTTTAAAGCAAGTGATGGGAGAAGGCTCATGTTTGCATACCTAAAGAAAACATGTCACACAGCCAGGCATCAATCTGACTCTACTCGCTATGAGCTTGTCTTTGGTATCCATGCCATGTTCAACAAGAACCTACATGGAAACCATTTAGCTCCATTCTGGTCTCCCCAAAATCAAAATACATAGTATATGAGGTATTTTTATAGTTCTTCAGAAAGGACAGTAAGTCCTTATAATGATTCACTCTCTTAGGAATACCTCAGGTATAAGACATTCCCCAAAGGAGTAAAAAAAAATCTCTGGGAAAAGTTTAGAACACATATCCAGACTAGGACTACAGCAGACCAGTGAACAGAGAAATACAGAAATAAGATGAGAATTTAGAAATGATGGAAAACCAATCTGGGAATTAATCATTAGAATCATTCAGAAAAGAAATGAGGTGTTATATTCCCTCAGGATCTCATAGGATGCCTCTAAAATGGGGGATCAGATCCAGGGGTGTCACAGAGAAATGTACATAAAGAAATTGTCAGCTAATTTTCAGCTATACTTAAAACTTCTTTTGAAAAACAAACAAACAAAAAAAACCCCTAAACCCAAAGACAAACATACTGAAGCTCTCAAAATCCTGGGACAAAATCAACAGCTTTTCAATGGAGCCCATCAGTGAAACAAGGCCTGAGAATATGCAAGCAAATGCCAAAACCTTATCTTACTGGGACACAAGGTAATGAGGGAGGATATAGCTGATGATAGACAACTGAGCTAGAAAGGAAGGCTGCCGTTGAGGAATTAATGGCTTATTTATCCTTTAAACAAAAAGATGTGGTTTCCTCTAGATGAGCCAGGTAGAGACATAATGAGGGTTTTCCATAAGCAGACATCAAAATGAAGACACCTCCAAGGGTCAGCAAACCAATGAGAACTGAGCTGTAGAGGTGGAAAAGCTGCTGGTGGTTATGCTGGAAAGCAACTGGCAAGCTGTACATGAGTATTCTTCATTTTCCTATCTTCTCCCAATGAGTACCTAACATAGCACTCCCTAAGCTCCCATCAAATCATGAGAAAGGTTGGCAGATCTTTATGCCTCCCCACCCCAGCCCCAGCCTGGGGAAGTAGCTGCCTCAGAGCTCTAAGAAAGCTCATCAACTCCTAGACAGGCAGCTGAGCTGACCTGCGAAGTCATAGAAGTTAACAGGCTGCCCTTTCCCTAAAGCTTACCAATGTTTCTCTAAAAGGATTAATGGCCAAGCAGTGCACTGGAAAGCAAAGTCAATGGAAGAGCACTCTGTACCACTGCTGATATCACTAGCGATAACGAGAGAAAAACCAGTGACCAAGGTCAGGAGCAGGAAAATCTGTTGGAATTGGCACCCTTGTGGGGAGAAACTAATGAAAACGATAGCCTTGCATGGTCACCTTCACCCAATTGAAGAGTTTCAGATTGAATAACTGACACAAATGCAGCAGATGTTATTAATTTGGCCTTTGCCAAAGCATTAGACACAGGAGTGCAAGAAATTTTACTTGGGAAATTAATTCAAATTGGCTTGGTTCAGTACACAATTACTGAAGATTAAAAAGTGGCGGAGGGATGATAAACAAAAGACAGTTAAGTGACAGTCCATGCAGTGAGAGACTTGGGGTCAACACCAAAGCCTTTCTTGTTGAGGGGCTCTATTCATGGTCCAGTAAAGGAGTAAACAATTCACTAATGAGATCTGCAGAGGATGCAAAGCTGGGAGGTAGAGAAACTGAATTGACAGGGTCATCAAATCACAAAGCAAGAGTTCAATAGGAAAAAAAATGTAGCTAATCTATCTAGGGGAAGAAAACCCTAAACTCAGATAATGTTCGATCCATAGGCAGAATGAGGAGCAGCAGAAGCATGTAAAAAAGTTCAGACATGCTGTAACTTAGTGACAGAACAAGTAAGAATGCTAAGGGGACGTGAAGAGGGTGCCAGGGAGAGACAGAGTGCATTAACTCGAAGGCAAACTAAAATAAAGCAGTGTCAGGAGACAGGTGGTCTAGGAAAGAGGTCAACTTTATTTTTGAAAGAAAAAAAAGGCCATTCTGCCTTCAAAATCCTTTTTAATGGGCTACAAAACCACCATCCCTACTGAGCAGAAGCTCTTGTCTTTCTTGGACTTCCCTTTTCCTGGCTGGGGGTTAGCATCTACAAGATGGCATAGGGCCATCATCCTAGGGTTCTCTGACAATAATGTTCCAAAGGAAAACCCACTCACAGTGCAGGTTGGCTGTTTCCCCAAATTCTTTATGAGGCCTGTACTGCCTTAGGGCAATGCCTCCTGGCTTTGAGAAAGCGTTAATTTCTCTCCATTTACTCAACCTGCAACAGCGCAATGACCCTGAAGCCAATTTTTCCACCATCAGTCTGAAAGCAATGGTTCAACAAAATTATCTCTAGGCAGCTCACTGCTTTAGCAAGCAACCATCTTGTTATATTACTTCAGCACAAAATCGGCACTAAAGAGGTTGTTTTCTTCTTAAAATCTAAATCTTCAGAAATTTCCCTATATAGGTGTACTCATTAAACAACACTCGTAACATTCCTCACACCATGGCTATTTCTAACAACATAATAAGAAGGCTGTTTCTGGCTTCACTTTTCAGAGCAGCTTACCTGCCTATCAGAATTAAATATTTAATAGTGCCACAGTAAAAACAAGCACAGGATATATGACAATGCATCGCATTCCGTTGTGCTGTTCAGTGTTTCTATTACTCTGGAAATACCTCACCTGAGTTGCTATCAGACCAGGATGACAAGCTGACCATGGGCCCACACCATAAGTCCCACCTGTTTAGTGAGGGGCTAGTTAGATGATTACACATTATTAAGAAAACTATAGCCACATTTTTGTCATCATGTGTTCTTTAAGCTTACCTGGATTAGTAGTGACACAGAAAGGGAAAGAAAGGAGTATTATGAGGAAGACTAATTACCAATCTATACCACATTATTATTATTATTATTTTATTATTATTACTACTACTACTATACTGTTCTTATTATAGCTTTTTTGGATGTTGTCTTTCCATGTATATGAGGCTGGCCTGAAATTCACAATCCAACTGTCTCAGCCATGCACCAGTGGCTCACGCCTGTAATCCTAGCTACTCAGGAGGCTGAGATCTGAGGATCACAGTTCAAAGCCAGCCCAAGCAGGAATGTCCATGAGCCTCTTATCTCCAATTAACCACCAGAAAACCGAAAGTGGCACTGTGGCTCAACTGGTAGGGTACTTGTCCCTTAGCTGAAGAGCTAAGGGACAGTGCTGAGGCCCAGAGTTCAAGCCCCATGACTGACAAACAACAAACAAACAAAAAACAATTCCCCTGCCTCAATATCTTGAGTGTGGGGATTATAAGCATGCATTACACTTTGTTTTTAATGGCTACTAAATAAGCCTTAAATAATCAAAGATGTAAACTCTTCATGCTTAATAATCACTTCCTATACAAAGCATATGGAAAAGTCCAAAACAAAGAATCAAGAAGACACAACGGGCTGGCTGACTTATTTCTTAGGTGACATTCTGTAATACATTCTATAGATTCTCTAGCCTTCACGAAGTGCAATGTGTTAGAGGTAAATGTCATATATCAGGGGCAAAGTTCTGGGCCAAATAGCAAGAAAAATGATACTAATGACCAAGTGTGAAACTCATGCCTTTTGTAACTGTAGTGTATAACTTGGCAATGACCAAATTCTAAGTGGGTCCTGAGGTCACAAAAACAGCACTGAGCAAGGCAAACTCATGGAATCAGTTGGAAACAATGGACATTTGGTTTAGTCCAAGTAGCTGGTTGAGTTATTCACATGTGCTCAGTTGTAAGTAGCTCAACTCCTGCTGTTTCCCAGGAAGTCTAGGAATCACTCAGCCAATGGCACCACAGTGACAAAAGTGTCTCTGAGCAAGAGCCTTGAGGAATGTCAACAGCAAATCACACTGCGGAGCAGACTGCAAGTCCTTGGGGCAACCAGCCACAGAGATGAAGGACAAAAGTAAAATGTCACAAGGCCTCTCATATGCTCTCCTGCCAGCTGTCAGAAGTGCTTCAAACCAAAACTCATTTCCTAATAAATGTTTTCATTTCCTTTGTACATGACAAAAGGTTTCGAGGTGACAAGTGGGAGAACTTGGGGGAGAGCCCTCTGAAGGTAAAAGACCCAGGCAAATGAATTACACACATAAGCAGGGTTTTCCTATTGGTTCCAGGAATGGTGATGAAGATGTTTGCTTTAGTGTGCACATCTGTGATTCCTTTTTAAATATCAACACAGGGAGATTTTACGTATGTTGAAAAAAATGGATGTTCAAGGGTACTTAATGAAGGTTAGAAAGCAAGTTCTGAGTGTGCCCTTCTGGACTTCATAGGGTGGAAATAGGAATTAAAAAAAGGATGCAAGCTCTAACAAAACATGTTTTTCTAACACATTCTGCCCAGGTACAAGTACAATAGTGAAACAGGAGAAAACAAAACAAAACAGGGCTGTAGGACCCAATGTGTTTAGTCATTTTTCAAACTCACCTGGCCTCTGCAGCCAGCAGTTCATCATAGTGTGAGGATCTCTGGTCATCATCCTGCCGGTATCTGATCACTGTGGCTAGACCTTTGCTGACAAGAGCCTCAGCGATGTTTCTGCAACAGGAAAGATAGGTCAGTGAGCACTAAAGGTGCATATGGGGCTCAGTCAACAGAAATAATAACAGTTAGCACCTGGAGGTCTTAATGCATTCTGGCAGAGTGAAGGAGAAGCCAAGGATTTCAAGACCAATGAGTTGCTAAGCTAGAAATCCAAATAAACAAAGATGAACCACAAACAAAGTTCCCTACCTCAGCACTTTCCTGGTTAGTACAGTCAGATGCTATATCAATCCATAAATAAAAACTAGCAAAGAATATCTGTAAAAAGCCCACATCAGGCCAGGCTATTTACAGAATGTTATAAACAAGCCACTACCCTCAAGAAAAGTCTGCTCTAAAATATCAGGCACATAGATAAAAAAAATGAAACACATAAAAGCATGACCTAAATTTCTCAAAATCTCCTTTCTATACTAAACTGTAACTAGAAAATGTCTTGTTTTACTTTGGCACTGTTAGAGATACCAGTTTAACATAATAGTCAAAGTATGTCTCTTCTCTTCCCAACTCTGGATACGTGTGGTTTCCTATCCGAAGTGAGTCTGGAAGAGAGCCACAAATGAATAGGGGGGTTGGCAGGAAGGAGGAAGGAAGGAAGGAAGAAAGGAAGGAAGGAAGGAAGGAAGGAAGGAAGGAAGGAAAGGAGGGAGGGAGGGAGGGAGGGAGGGAGGGAGGCTGTCTTATAGAAGAAAACCACAAGGGGAAGGAGAAAATAAAAAAGTATAAAACCTGAGATGACCAGTTTTGGAGCAGTCTGCCAATGAGACTACAGAAGACCTCATATTAAAATCTGACCTGAAGCACTTCTTGCATATATGGAATCTTTTGTTCACAAAAATAGGAAAACTGCTCCCACTGGGAATGAGGGTGCTTCTGTAAGTTGCCTTCAGCACAAAAGAGGAGAGAACAAAAGATAATGCTAAGATAACCAATGAAGCGTATTTGCATGGCTCCTCTCCAATCTGGAATGGGAGCACGGACACAAACAGCCAATTGTAAAATTAAATTGTGAAAAAATTAACTATAGCAAATGCTGGAAAGCAAGAGTCATGATATTATTGAGTGAGAGTGTTGGTTATGTCTTTCTTTGTATCTGTCATAATTACACCAAAAGCCCCACTCATACCATCTGGTTCGTTGCCCTTTAGGGAGAGGGTACGGTAAGCAATAGGCTACTTTGCCATATGCTATGATTTAGAACTGCTTGAAAATGTAGTTAACTCTTAACACACTAGTGGTCCCCATAAAAATGTCATGGGGGCAGGGGAGGGGAAAGTACAGGCAACTGGATTAACTAGCATAGCATCTCTTCTTTGTTTAAGCCATTTAAGGGCTCTATTCATCTAACCCTAGGAAAACAGGATTTATTAAAGAAAAAAAATTAGCTGGTAGAGAAAAGGAGGAAAAGATGCTATGGCTGATTCTCTTCCATTATGTGTCCCTCTACTGTCTGTTTATCTACTGCCAGCATGATATTAATATCTCTAAACCGCCACGGAATTAGCACTTCTCAAAATCCACTCCCACAAAGAGGCTGCTTTGCTGGCCACCCTGTCTCCTGAGTCACTGCCTGAGCGTGCTGGCAAATGCTGTCATTATCACAGAGTTGTGTTTGGCAGCCCAGAGAAGGCAACAGCCCCAAATCAGCAGATGTAGATGTTGATACACGGTGAGGATTTAACTAAGGTTGTCACCAAGGAGCCCTACCCGGGCCAGAAAGAGGTTCCACCCACCAAAGAGCTAGTGAGACAGCCAGGAAGCGGGGAGGGGGCGGGGAGACAATTCCACTGTGACAGATTGAGATGCCTTGGTGATTTTAAATGCCAAGAGAATAAAGAAATATTTGTTACTGCATTTTCAATTACTGAGCATTGGCATTTTACAGTCAACATGGGGTCTGAAGGAGAAAGCAAGAGTGATATAGCAAGAAAGGAAAATTTCATTCAAATAAGCCTCTATATGAGAAGCTAGCAAACACTAAACAACAAAAAAAAGCACAATGTTTAATGGCCCAGTCCTGTTAATGCTGCTCAAATCAAATCCTAGACTTAGCACCTATATATGCCTGGCCAGCAGGGAACCTAGGGCACAGTACTTTCTTATTCTTCATTGTCTTTGTCCTTGTCCGTGTGTGTGTGTGTGTGTGTGTGTGTGTGTGTGTGTGTGCGCGCGCGTGCGCGCGCGCGCACACATGTGCACACATGCATGTGTGCATGAGCACTAGTACTGTAGCTTGAACTTGGGGCCTGAGTGTTCTTTCTTAGCTTTTTCTTTTTTTCTTTTGTTGGTCATGGGGCTTGAACTATGGGCCTGGGCGCTGTCTCTCAGCTCTTCAGTTCAAGGTGAGCACTCTACTACAGCACCACTTCCAGTTTTCTGATGGTTAATTGGAGATAAAAGTCTCATGGTCGTTCTTGCCAGAGCTGGTTTCTAACAGCAATCCTCAGATCTCAGCCTCCTGAGTACCTAGGATTATAGACATGAGCCACTGGTGCCCCGCCTTTCTTAGCTTTTTCTACTTAGGGTGCTTGATTACTCTACCACTTCAGTGATCCACAGTTCCACTCTTGGCTTTTAAGTGGTTATCTGGAGATAGTCTCCTGGTCTTTCTGACTGGGCTGTTTGCAAACTGAAATCTTCAGATCCCAGCCTCTGAGTAACACCATGAACCAACAGTGCCCAGCTTCTTATTGCTACAAACCTGTTAAGGCTTGCTATTATTGAGTTCATAGATTGCCAATTCACACTCCACACTCTGCCCACCATTATCTGTCCCTGTCCTCTAAGGCCTAACATCAGAGCCCAGCCACGTTCTTTTAGCTACTTATCCTAATTAAGGATTTTCCCCAGTTGAACAGTTGTGGTACTGGTGCTTACAACAAAGAGAGTAAAATAAATGAAATGATAACAAACTTTCTTTACTCTGTATTTACTACATTCCAGCATGTGAGAATCACATGCATTCTCTTCTTAATGCATCCCCTATGATAAATCACCATCAATTATTATGCAATAATATTGCAATTATTAAGTCATTGCCTTTGAGGGAAAGGCTCGCTTTTCCTTGCTCTATACAATCACCAATTTCTAGCACATTACTTTGTAAAAGGTTTCTGAATGGAAAGGTTTCCACTCAGGTTTGTACAAATAGAATCCTTTAGGATTTAAAAAAAATAAAAACAAAAAAAAGCCAGTGGCTCACGTCTGTAATCCTAGCTACTCAGGAGGCTGAGATCTGAGGATCACGGTTCAAAGCTAGCCTGGGCAGGAAAGTCTGTGAGACTCTTATCTCCAATAAACCATTAGAAAACCGGAAGTGGTGCTCTGGCTCAAGCAGTAGAGCACTCACCTTGAGCTGAAGAGCTTAGAGACAGCACCTAAGCCCAGAGTTCAAGCCCCATGACCGAGACACACACACACAAAAAATCCTTTAGGATAAAATAATTTCTAAATGTAGTGGAATTATATCATTGCTTTTAATTTTGTCTTAAAACTATCCAGAAAATTTTGAGAATTAAGGTAGAGGAAAAACACCTATTTATTTTGTAAATATAGCATTCAAACGTGACTTTTTCTAGCCAAAGTTTCCCAGCATAGAAATGAGGACAATAACTTTCTACATGCCTTTTCTGCTTTTGTCTCTCTCTTCCCCATTATCTGAGATTGCAATTTGAAAAATGAATGAAAAGGAGAGAGTGAAAATGGAATTAGCCTAGATACATGTACTTGAGTGTCTCGTTCATTTCTTTTGGCTGCTAATGAAAGGTCAGAAGATTTTTCCCCTGGCAAAAGATGGCTCAGAACCCAAACGAGTGCATTGATCAGTCGCCCAGTAAGAAAAGAGAACATTAAATTGTGTGCCATGATATTATGCTGCTTTAGACAAATTTATAAGTTCTGCTTTCTTGAGTGTATCAGTAATTCCATTCCAATTACACATGTCTGGCACAAATGAATAATTCACAATCAGCATATAAAACGAAAACTAACCCAGCCTTGGAGGTCTCACAGTAACCCATCACTCTGTATCAGCTAGAAAAAGAGAAACATTAGAGAATATTTCTCCAAACTAAAAGAGAAATTGAGTGTTTTACTGTAAGGGAAGTTTCCATCAGGAACTGTCAGGTATTACTGATAGACAGACAATGACATGGGCTCAATTTGCAGACATTCTCAAAGGACCTAAAGCATTGACATCTTCCCTACCCACTTTCTACATAGCAAGTCCATTGTCATCATTTCATACTTTCCTACTCTATGATAGGTTTGAATCCATCAGGTTCTCTGTGCTGAAAACATGACAAAAGGTGACTTAGGCCCATATGAAAAAGTAACAATCTAACAAACACATTTTTGCTGTTGTTCCCATCCCTTACTACAAACCCAACATTGGAAGTAACAAATAATATAAGCTGGGCTGGGAAGGTGGCTCAGTGGTAGAGCACTTGCCTTGCATGCATGAGGCCCTGTGTTCGATTCCTCAGCACCACATAAGCGAAAAGAAAAAAGCCAGAAGTGGCGCTGCGGCTCAACTGGTAGAGCGCTAGCTTTGAGCTGAAGAACTAAAGGACAGCACCCAGGCCCAGAGTTCAGGCCCCATGACCGGACCCCCCCCCCCAAAAAAAAAAAAAACAAATAATATAAGTTGATAGGTGAGATAACTGTCTAAAATTGTTTAGGTTACCTTACTGTGTATGTAGGTAATATTGTACCTATTTGGAGTTAGAGGAAAGGCTACAAATAGTCAGAGAACAAGTTTTCTTTGAACCATTTGAAAGTAAGTTGTACCACCGTCCTCATGAATTTCAAGTGTGCCTCTCCTATTAACCAGGTTATTTTCCTACAAATTCAAAAACACAAGTAGAACAAGAACATAAACATAGACACATTAACTGCCATTTAATAAAAAACTTAACCTGTTCCAGAATTCTTAGTCTCCCAGTCATAGCCATGGGGGACATGTTCCAGGATACAGAGTGGATGCCTGCTACCAA